ATCCAGGAATTAATGAAAGCCACATTTTCCATTTAAATACTGACTTCCATCCTAAAGTAATAAATACTCAGCTGAAGGGAGTTTTGATGAGTTACGTAGCAAAAGATAGATATTTTGTCCCCATTTTTTTTTTTTTTAATATATATTTCTCAGCTCAACATTGGTGGGCATGAGGGTTGTACCTCAATGCTGTACTGTGTCCATGCAATATCTCTACCAAAGGATGGAAACAGCTTAACATGGGAAACGAGGAACAACCACCACCCCACTACAACCAGGAGCAGCCTGGTTGTGGTTTGATCCAGAGTTGCTGTTCTGCCTTTGGAACCTCATTTGGTTCACTGGGATGGATGGCAGGGAAGGAGGAAAACAAAGCAGGGCCCCACCAGGCAGCCTCCCCACCAGGGGAGGGAAAGAAAGGGAAATAATAACAGCATTTGAAGATGAACAATAAGAGACCACCAGGAAGGAAACCTGCTCTTTACAAGGTTCAGTGTATTAAAATAGTGAGTCCTCACAGCCCAGTGAGGACACCCAGCAGCCCGGAACACAAAACGAAGGACATGCACAATTCAAGAGCTTATGCCCTTCACGAGGCTCCAATACAAACTATCTATTCTGTCCTTCTCATCCATTGGATTCTTATGATGCTGACTGCCTACCAGCAAGCTCTGCACCCCACACACATATATGGGAATGCTATAGGAAGGCAGGCAGGTAGCTTAAGGCTTCCCAGGGCATCTGGACAACAGTGTGTGGATATTTCCATAGCAGATGGCCAACAGGTGGGGCTGAGAAAGGTTCAAAACCTCAGCAACCACATCAAATAAAACCCAACTCAAGTCCTTTGGGAGTCTTTGCCACAACACAAGCAACCTGCTTTGGGTGAGAGAACACCTCCAAAGCCTTTATTCAGTGGCCTTCCTCTGATACACTGAATGGCACAAGCCAAGAGAAGGGGGTTTTAATAGCAGGAGCAACCTATCCTTGCCAGAAGATCACCTCACATTGCAGACGGATCTGCACTTTATATAAGGGGCACAGATTCCTTTCATTTAGCTGAGGTTATATGAAAGGGAAAGGGCTGGTGATCTCCTGAACTGACCTCAGACAGTGCACAGATTTTAAACATCTGTTTGTCCTTTCGTGCTTTGAAACCCAAAGTGGACCTTTATCACAGCACCTCTGATTTTAGGGCACCTGGGCAGCAAGCAAGTGATCAGGTAATGACAAACACTCATATTAATAGCAACACCACGTTGTTTCTCAATAGCAGTGTCAGTTTCTTACACACTAGCAAGCAAAAAGAACAGATCACCAAAAATACTGTCACAAACTTAGCAAGAATAACAAACCTGGTTCCACTGCTTGTTCAAAGACGGAAGAAAATCCAGGTTGTTCTGCATGTTTATCATTCCTCACTTCTCACTGCACTCAACTTCATCCTAGCTGTAACTCACCATCATTAGACCTTAAGGGATACCTTTCTCTCTCAGGTACTGTAATTCCTTGGTTACCACCGAAGCATTATATTAGTGGAACCAAGAGAGGGCAGGCTGCTTGGTAACTCATTGACTCCTGATGATCAACAGTCCATCACAGCATTACCCAGATACCAGCAAACAGAGGCTAATTATATTATACAGACACAGTGCTTGGAAGAACCCCAACCCCACTTTGCTCTCCAGGACTCGAACTCTCCATGCACATTTTTATGAACCCAAAAGAGAAGGTCATGCTCTCTTTACTCCTCCTTACCACACATGCTGGTGGCTCAGAGCTACCCAAGTCCTCCTTCTCCATTCATAATTAATGTAGTAAAAAGAGAATCATAGAATCATCATAGAATGGCCTGGGTTGAAAAGGACCACAATGCTCACCTAACTTCAACCCCCTGTTATGTGCAATGTCGCCAACCAGCAGACCAGGCTCCCCAGAGCCACATCCAGCCTGGCCTTGAATGCCTGCAGGGATGGGGCAAAGATGTCCTTACAAGTGTTTTGACACCCAGCAACTCAATGCACACCTTCGGAACAGGCTGGAGATCCTTGGCACTGAGGAACTCTCAAGTCAAACACAGTAAAGCACTACGAGGATCAAGAGGAGAGCAAGAGCAAAGAAGATGAGATAGATGCAAATTTCAGTATGCAACTACAAATGACATGGAGCAGATCCTCCACTAGGGTGCCCGGCAGAGCTACAATCAATAGATCTGTGCTCATTTGCACAAGCAGAGCACTAGCAGCACAACTAAGCTGGAGTTTCACTATCAGTTACCACCGGGCTACCTGTCTTAAGGCACCTTTGCATAAAATGCAAAGTTATGATTCACTGTTTTTCCTGCAGCTCCGCTCAGCCCCGCTGCTTTATTCACTGCTGCTCTCACCTCTTCACCTCGTTAACTGCTTTCTTGCTTCTGGCCATCGGAACCGTTCCAAAATTGCTGTTCTTTGTGCAAAAAATAATAATAAAAAAAATTGAATAAAATACTGCTGTTGTAACAGAAGCTAAATTAAAAGGCTCGTGACACGAACAGGGGCAGACAAAGTGGCGAAAGGCCAACTAAAGAGAAGGGTATTTGTTACTGCTCCTTCCCGAGAGGATCAAGAAAAACATTCAAGATTTTAAAATCTGTTCCAGCCCTTCTCCTTAGTGTGTAAGAATGTGAAAGAGATTCCAATACTCCTCCCAGATAACCCCTCAGAAGTAAGAGGCTCTGTAAAACCGTAGCGTTTCCTAACACAAGGATACCAGCGATGTCATTGCCACCTCTCTGGATTGCATCCATCCCACAGATCATTATCTCCCATGGGCACAGATAAACACTCTGTTTAAGGTCTCAATGGGAAAAGCATCGGTGGTGAAAGTAAGTAACTTTGAAACCTCACCCGAAAAGAGCAGCAGGGACACAGGGCACCCTCTCCTTTCCCTTCCCACACTCCCAGGTCCTTTTCAGGCAGGGTGCTCAGGAGGGGACAGTTGCCCTGCTGTAAGCTGCCATCCCCAGGGCACTTCTTAAAGAAGTGGGGGGGATCTGGTGCACTGAAGACCTCCACCCTTCTCACACCACCAGCCTATGGGCTGGGCATCCCATCTGCACGTGGTACAACCCGCTGTCCCAAGAGCAGCACCAGCTTTCCCTCCTCTCTCCTAAACCTCTAAAAAAAACCAACCAAGCAGAAGAGAAATAAACACAAGCTTCCCAAGCCAAGCAAAACCTTTCCACAAACAGTTTGCTTTTCCTGACCAGTGAGATTCCACGGAACTGCTGGTGGTGCTCTGTGTGCACAGAAAGGCTCGGAGCCCATAGCAGCAACCAGGCACAGCTCTGATCCAAGTGCTGCGTGCAGGAGGGGATGGCACACCTGGATCAACACTGCCTGCTGCCCTGACCCCTCTCCAACACCAGAGATGAATTTAACACCAAGCAAAAGTGGCCGTGAACTTGAAATACACAAATAAGTCAATACCCCACCAATACCCAGCCCATGCAATAGAAGAGACAGGTTTAAAGGTCTCCTTGCTGACGTGAATGGTGATACTTTATGCATTAGCACCCCCCCACTCATCCCCTAATCAGCAACCACTTTTCAATAAGTAATGAAAAAACACATGAAAAAGAGCAATATCAGCCTGAAGAGCTTTGGGTACCCCGTGGAGCACTCAGGGATGGCAGTAAACAAGGAGCTGATATTCACACACTGCACAGCATTGAACCGAATGGGATGAGCCCCAAATCAGAGTGAGATTTCAATGCATGAAGTTTAGCTGGAAGATAAGGGACCGTAATCAAATTACACCACAAATAGATCCATTCATCCGTGAGCGTTATTGCAGGGAGAGGATTGAATTACAGCTCGGGCTAAAACAATTTCAGGAATAAAAAGGAAATTTATTAGCTATTTATTATTGTCCCGCTGCCAAAGAAAATTTCCCACCTTCGTCACAAGAATGCAATCTGAGGAGAAAGCTGAAATACTAATTACCAGGCTGGAAAAGCAAGAAGAGTTCGGGTTGTATTATTTACATTGCCATTCCTCTTTCTGAATAGAGCCACAAAGTCAACCAGCCGAGGGAAGCCACGAGAAGAAGCATTTGCAATTCCAGTTGTTTTGCTGGGGAAGGCCCAGGCGCTGAAATGCATGCAAGGAACCGGGCAGAGCGATGGGGTTTTCCTTCCTCTAAAAAAGGAAAATTCCTCCCGGTGCCTTCCACTACATTTTTTTCCTTTTTTTTTTTTTTTTTTTCTCTTTTTCCTCTCTCTCCACAAAGCTATCCCAACAGCACGGGTTTTATAGAAGACCAAGTGCAAGGTGAGAATTTCCCCCCAACCCCCCTCCCATCCCACCACCCCCATCCATCCACCAATTTGGCAGCGCTCGTAAGGCAAACACGGCTTTTGGAATAAGTGCTGCAAGCAACAACAACCGGGTGGGGGGGAAGGAAAGGGAAAAAAAAAAAAAAAAAAAAAAAGGATAAAAAGCAGCACCATTCCTCCCGCTGCTGCCGCTGTTGTCCTTTGTTGTTCGGCCCCCCCACCTGTTCCCAGCCCGGGCCGAGCAATGGGACCCCACGGGGCCGCCCCGACGTGACTGCGGGACCCCAAATCCAGCGCTGAGCCCCGGGTTGGGACGGGGACAGAGCGCTGCGGGGGGCACCCAGCGAGCCGCTAACCCCCCCCCAAACCCTACGGAAGGAAGCTGCCCCCCGGCTTCAGCCCCCCGCCTCGGGGGCTGCCTCACACCCCCCCCCTCCCAACCCCCTTTAAATCCACGGTACCCCCAGCCCAGCCCCCCGCCCCATCGCAGTGAGGGTGACCCTCGCAGGAAGCTGAGAGCCCCCCACCCTTACAGCACCGGGTTCCCCCCACCCCCTCGCACCCAGCAGGACGGGGCTGCCCCCACCACGGCACGCTGCCCCATTCAGCAAATAGGGGCTGTTCCCCCCCCAAATTCCCCCCCGGCCAGGACAGCCCCCCGGATCCCATCCCCGGCACCTACCTCGTCTTGGAGGACAGGAAAGCAAGTTTGATTAATCCATAGGTAAACAACTGGATGCTCTCCTTGGCTATGCTGGCCACTCTGAGCCTGTGCTCTAGGATGTGCAGTTCCATCTTTTCCTCTTTCTCATTTGTAGTTCATCTATCCCCGGGGTTTATTTTGTGTTTTTGAATGGGGAGGGGGAGGGGGGTGCTGTTATTGTCGCTGCCTTGTTGGTAGTGGTTGTTTTTTTTTTTTTTTTCGGTTTTTTTTTTCCTTTTTTTTTTTTTTTTTTCTTTTCCTTTTTTCCTCCCCTCTCCTCGGCTCCTTTTCCCCCTACCCGGCTCCGGGGGCGGGGATGCGGGTGCCGAAGTTGCGGGGCGGGCGCGGAGCGGAGCCGGGCAGAGCAGCGGCGCGGGGCGAGCAGCTGGGCTCGCTGAACAAACAACTTGCCACTCAAGCCCGCCGCAACGCGCATGCGCGCCGCCCCGCCGCATGCCGGGCCTTGGAGTCCGCGCCGCCGCGGGACGGGAGCGGGCGGGACCCGGAGCCCCAGTCGGCCCCATTGTAACCACCCTCACCGTTTTTGTGTTTTTTTTTTTTTCTTCTCCTTCTTAATGTAAAACTTTAAGCTTTACTTGTTACTCTATCTCTTCCCTTTTCCTTTCTTTTTTTCTTTTTTTCCTTTTCCTTGCTGTTCTTTTTTTTTTTTTTTTCTTTGATTTTTCTTTTCACTGCACTGACCCTTTGATTCTGGGTGGCGCGCAGGGTGCTCCTTCTCGACCCAAAAGCCAGCAGAAAGGAAAACTTCAGACATTCTCATAATAAATAAATATTCTCCTCTTGTCCGGTTCATTCTCCTACACTGCTGATATGCAGCCTGCATTAGTTTCCCTACAAAAAAAAAAAGGGGAGTGATAAGAAAGAATGAGACAGGTTCCTTAGCAGGGTCTGCTGTAATAGGATGAGGGGAAACGGTTTCAAACTAAAAGAGGGGAGATTTAGATTGCATACAAGAAAAAAGTTTTTTATAGTAAGGATGCTAGGGCATTGGCACAGGCTTCCCAAGGATGTGATGGATGCCCCGTCCTTGGAGACACCCAAGGTCAGGCTGGATTAGGGCTCTGAGCACCTGATGGAGCTGTGGGTGCCCCTGTGCACTGCAAGTAGTGGGACCAGATGGCCATTCTATGATTCTATGACTCTATGAAAACGGAGAAAAAAGGACAAGAAACAGCCCACTTTCCATGGAAGTGTAACAGAAGTGGAATCACAATTGTTCAGAGGCTGTGTGTATGGCAGCCAACAACTGGAAGGCCCTGCCACTCATCAGCAATGGCAGGCAGAGCAGAGGAAACCCAGGGACCAGACCCAGCCTATGGTTCCCCACAGCCCTACTGACACCACATGGACTAAAATGGGAATCAAGGGCAAGCGAGTGCTGTTAGAACATTGAACAAAGGTGATCCTAACCTCCCTGCAGAAGGGCTCCCTCTGATTTCAGGCTGCACTAATTCTGCAGGAATAAAAGTCAGACCAATAGTACCACAGCACTTTTCATTAGTAGACCTCAAATGGGTTTTGTAACATGTTCTACACATGGGGAAAACTGAGGCACAGGCTGTGGCCAGGGCAAATGGCCTCTCATCACCAGGCCATTCTTCCTTCCAGCACAGACAAAGGAGCTGCTGCTGTACAATAAGCCTGTAGAGCCTGTGTTCTTAGGGCAGAACCCCCCTTCATCCAGCTCTGAGGACAAGCTTCTGAAACCAGAACTTCCCAACCCTCTCTATTCTTCCAGCTCCCACACATGGCTGTGTCCCCTCATGGACGTGTCTGTTCTTCTCCTGCCTGCAGCCAAACTTCTGAGATGCTGCCTTCACTTTGTTGTATTCCAAAAGGAAAACCTTGAAATTAGAGGCATTCATATCCATGGGTAGTTTGAAATCATTTAGAGGAAAGGCAACAAAGATAAAACATCAAATCTCTGCTGTGTTTAAAAAAGCCCTTGGAAACCAGGGGGTTGTTTTCCTTCGTCGCTTCATGCAGAAGTTCAGCTGCAGTTTAGGAAGCTGAAGAGAGTTTTTAATCTGCTTCCACTGCTAGTTCAAGGTCTTGGTCTTCAAAGCTCTGAACGTGTCTGTGCCCAGCTACAAAAAGTGCCTGCACCTGCAGCTGCAAATCGCAGAGCTATCTGTGCTCCTCCGGCACAGTGCAGGCCTCAGAGTCCAGAAGGAAGCAGCCAGGGACAAAACATTCACCTCCAAGGTTGCTGTGAGCTTCCAGAGGAAACCAAACAAATGCATTTTGAATCACTTCTAGGAAACGCAGCAAAAACTTTCCTCTTTTAAAAGGAATCATCATAACCGGGGCAACATTCACAACGCTCGGACTCCTCACTTAGAGACAAAATACGCCGCCTCTGAGCAGAGCTTTCTCAACCAGAGAGGGCTGATGCTCCAAGAGGGCCACCAGGGATTGTGTCATTACCAGTCTAATTACCAGAGAAATGCTTACGTGAAACAATGAGAGATGGTAAAACAGACCCAAAGGTAAAGTCAGCGGGGACCTTTTGCAACAAGCAAATCAGCAGAGACTTCTGTTCTGCCTGCGGGGAAGGAGAAAAGAGGCCCTGAGTCAGTCATCTGGATTGACTAAAAAAAGAAGAATCAAGCAAACAAGCAACAAAAAAAGAAAAAGAAAAAAAAAAAAAAAAAAAATCCCCCCCCCAAACCCACAGAACACAAAAATACTTCTCCATTCTGTAAGTTTACATCTGGTGCTCTCCACAATTGCAGTTTCTTTCCTTGGGTCTGACTCGCTGCTATGGGTTTCCAAACCCTGAAGGCCTCTCTGGGCTGCACGCAGACCTCGTGTCTCCTCAGACCTTTTACACCACCGACTTGTAGGAAGCGTTAGGAAAACATACAGCCCATATCAACACCCAACCCCATTTTCTACACGCCAAAAATATGCCTAGCTCAGCACGGGCAGATTGTTCCAGAGCAGGCAAACTGGCAATTAGCCAAAGCGCTATTAGGTGCCCCCCCCCCCCCCCCCCCGCTGTCATTAGCATTCTGCTCTCTCTCTCTCCCTTGTTGCCAGGTATACCTGGGAGTTTCCATGCAAGGAGCAGACTAGAACGTATTGTTATTACATACAACACGCTGTGATATCATTTCATTATTGCCATTCTGAGTTTTTCGTAATTTTTTTTTTGCAGCTCTTACGGGCTCTTTTGGCCCAGCCACAGAGCGGGGACCTGTTGTGCAAGATGATGTAACCATGCTGCTCTTTTTTTTCTCTTCTTTTTTTTTTTTTTTTTTTTCTTTTCCCTTTTTATTAAAAACAAAACCCATTCCCTGCCCACACAGCTCCCAACGTCAGTTACCACAGCACAGTCTGGGCAAACAGAACAAAGAGATGGGGAGAGCGGACAAGAAAACAGGAAGATGAGATAGCAGCAAAACAAACCTCAGTGTGAGGCTGTGATCTGGGTTTGGACAGATGCCATTTTTGTGTTTCAGATGAAAGGCACGGCCCATTCAGAGCTCGGGGAGCTGAAGTTGAGCCAGGAGAGTTTCAGGTTGTGTGTTAGGGAAAACTTCACCTTAGAAGAGTGGTGATGCATTGGCACAGCAGTTCTAGGGTAGTGCTGGGGTGACTGTTCTTGAAGGTGTTCAAGAAGCATGGAGATGTGCCACTAATGGATGCGGTCAGTGCTATGGTGGGATGGGATGGTGCTTGGACTAGATGATCTTAGTGGTCTTTTCCAACTGTAATGACTCTGTGATTCTATGATTCTAGGACTAGGCACTGTGAGTCACCTGCTGCTCGAGGGAGAGCAGAGCCTTGACAGACCATCCCAGTAGATGAGTGCTCCAGGTTAGAGACCACCAGTGACACTAATGAAGTCTAAGTGCAGAAGCCCTGAGGCTGAGGTGGGTGGAAGTGCAAGCTGTACTCGAACAGTTCTCAGACACTTCCACTTTTGCTCATGATGACATGGAGCTTCATGCTGGTGAGCAGGGCAAGAGCCATCTCCTGTTGACCCCAGGGCACTGTTTGCCTACAGTGGAGGTCCTCAGGAGGAAAGCAGGGCTGTACAATAACCCTGAGTTCAAGAAGATGCTCTGTACTTTTGCCTTGAACTTTTATCTCAGCAGCAACCACATAGAGCTGGGCACCATCAGGCCGCTAAGGGACTCCACATCTTGGCAGTCTTTTGTCCAAGGGCTGAATTTCTCATAAGCCAACATCCGAGTCTCTGCATACAGATTGCTTCCAGGCACATCAAGACACTCCAGAACAATCAGCATTTCAGGAAAAAGAAATGAAAAAACGTAGAAACAGTTGAGGTGAAAGGAATGTAATTACGCACTGTGATGAACAGTTCACCAAGAGCAGCGCTGTGCACAGAGGAAAAATAAAGGAGAATTTCTAATCACATGAATCATCATGTTTTATGCAGTTACTCCAAAGTACAGTAGGATATCTTTGCTTTTTTTTTTTTTATGTAGTTGGTGGAAGGAAGTTCTTATATCATTTGTGGTCTCTTCCGACACCATAAAAAGCCCCAAATTACCGTATTCAGTCCTCAAAGATGAAGCTGTAGCCTTTTACAGATGGATTTTAACACGCAGTATCTAAATTCTCAGCAATAAAGCCTCGTTTTCAAAAAATAAATATAATTTAGATTCCCTCACGCAATTTGTCTGACACGGCACTGCTGCAATTACTATTTCCCTGCTGTTGGCAGCATTCTGTTATTCTTTCAGGATCATCTGAAGTCTGACAGCATCTTGACCTATGGACTAGAGCTTGTGTCAGCCTCTAGGATCTGAAACAGCCGATAATACAAGTCTTAATGTGAATGATGTAATGGCAGTGCCCTGGATAAATATGCCCAAGGCGAGACAAATCCAGAGCCGCTGTTGTTTACACTAACATTCACTTTTCTGCCATAGAGCATATGAAGTTCTTAGCACGTCTAAAGCTCTGGTGTGAAACTGGGGACAGTGTGCGTTTCTGGAGTCCCATCCAGACTCAGTACACAATGGACACAATCTGTGCTGGCTTCTAAGCTCGGGGAATGCAGTTTTTGAATGCAGGCTGTCTTCAGAGCGTTGAGGACTGGAGGTATATTGAGGTCAGATGGTTTGGACCGAAGGAGAAGCCAACACACATCTCAATAGCCTTAACCAGTTCATTCTGAGATGAAAGTTACTTAGTAACTATAATTATCCTGGGACTCTTTGCTTCAGTTAAACAGGCCTTTTTGACCCAGGGAGGGTAATGCTTCCTTACACAAACATGTAAACAGAGGAGCGTGAAGGCAGGCAAAGAACCAAGGTCACACCATTAGCTGTTATCACTTTGGGAGAACAATTCAGCAGGCTGAATTTGAGACCCCACGGGGTTGTGTGGGGCAGACGGACAGGATGGCTTTACGTGCTGCTGTCTGGTGACAATCAGTCCCCAAATAAATCCATTCTTTAACAAAAATGGTTTGTAAAATATGAAAAAAAAAAGAAAGAAAAAAGAAAAAAAAGAAAAACAACACAAAACCACCCTTCCCAAATGATATAGCTTCTGGGCTTGCTTGTGAAAAATTACCCATTTGTTTAATTGAAAAGAGCGATTTATCAGGCTAATTTCCTTCCAGCAACCAGAGACCTTTCAAAA